AAAGAACCCACTGGACAGTTTGTACGGAGGACAGACGAATGCAACCTGTTTGACGTACCAAGCTGACAAGGGAAAAGGAGCAAAAAAACCCAGATACTTGGACATGTGTTTTCTGTATCCGTGTGTTTGCAAATGTTGTCACTTTCCCGCAAGGCACCCGCAATTGCTGACTGAGCACATCGACGTGGACAACATTCGACAATAGGAAGGATAATGTAAAGTTTTGTATCCCACGAACTTGTATCATCCTGTGTTACCACACCATTGCCAAGGAAAATTGATGATTCCCTTGTGCAGTACTATTACAGAAATGTTCACCCAAGACCACCCTTGTCAACACATTCAGGACGAAAGCACCTTGTCGGGAATAAGTGTCTTCGTGGAAGTGTTTAACGCTCAGAACATGGGATTCCAACTGGTAGAAGTGTACGAAATTTACCACTCATAAAGTCATTTTTTTTTCAGACTACGTGAATGACTTTTGAAAATGAAAAAATAAAACTGCAGCTATCCTTCCTGGAGTCACGAAAGAGAAACATTATGAGGAGGAAGGCATCACTTTAGATCACGTCGTGAAAAACGAAGGAAGGCGATCATTTGCTAAAGTGCTGTTAAATTGTTTGTGGGGAACAAAATTGTACAACAACCCTGTTTAAACAAGTCGGAGTATTTGACAGAACTTGCGCCCTAATTCCAGATGATTCACGAAAAAACCAAATACATCAAACACGTGGACATCAATCGTGAGGGCTTGATCTTAGTCAATTACGAAGAAGAACTAGACTTTGTACAAGCCAAAAGAATTTGGAAATTACATCATTGCAGCCTACGTGACAGCCCAGGTATGAAGCTTTACAAACTGTTAGAAGATCGTGTGCTGTATTTTGACACATTTGCATCTACATTGATCGTCTGGGTTAATAATACCTTAAAATCGAAGGAGACTGTTTAGGAGTCTGGACGGATGAGTATCCCAAGGACACAATTCTAAGTTTTGCAAGTGGCGGTCCCAAAAACTACGGCTACGAATAACGTAACCAACAAAGAGAAGTGCACGCAGAATGGAAAACGAAAGGATTGACTACCAATTCTCGCAAATGTCAAACGGTAAGTTTTGGCGTATTAAAAGAAGCCTTGTAGAGTGGACATGGAGGAAACGTTTATGTGACCACTTACCAACCAAACAGTATTGTACGTTTACTCACACTTTAAGTCGTCAGTCGACTCTTGGACAAAGTCTATCAAATCGTGTAACAGAAGCGAGTACAGCTTCAAAATCACTTCACTTTACCGTACGGACACAACGATATTGGTCAGCATATAAAAAGCGACAACGCCCACGGCCAATAGTTTTTTGTCGCTACAAATGCTAAAAACGAAAGTTGAATCCTTTCACTCATTAAGTATCAAGCGAGGGCAAACTCGAGTGCGATGTTGTGCCTTGCAATTGCAGATGCCTCACGCTGTGGCCTCAGTGGTTTAGTGCCACATCATCATGGGAACTTTGATATGGAAAGTGATGATGATGGTGTACGTGTCAAACCTGACGGATACGAAAGAGATGTCACACGTTATCGCACACCATTTCACTGTACTAGTTTTCATGGTGAATGTGCATTTTCACAGGAAAACCAAACGGCTACAGATGTCGTGGAAAACTGTGCAAAGTCCTAAGGATTTCACCGTAGCCATATCGAAAAGAAACTGTGAGAGATGAATAGTTGTTTCCAGTGCGTTTGCCTGAATAATGCGACTATATAACTCATTTGCAAACCTTTTGTGGAATACGGCCAAAATATATGGGATGATCTTGTACATAATGTTAACTTGTTTAAAGATGAAACTTCTGAACGACTTGTAATGTGTCAGTTAGTGCCTAATAATTTGGTTACATCTACGGAATACGACCACTTTTTTGCCGAGATCGCACTTATAGCTGCCGAATCCTTTATGACTAATGATAAAACAGATTCCGTGGAAGGAAATCAATTACAATATTCAAACGGTGGAGGATTACCGACTATGGTCACAATTTTTCGGGGTTCTCGACACGACGACTTTAGTGAGGCATTTGTGATCGTAAGGATGACATACAGAGAAGGATTTATTTTTACCGCTACAATCCACGATAAAAAGCCGACTAACTGGGAAAAACAGAATTGGCTAGCATGTGTGATGCAAGTGGTAAAGTATCTAACTTAGAGGCAGATGAGGCACGTTAGTAATTTGGATGGCATCTGGCAAACTACGCCAACTGTTCCAAAATGCAACTGCGTAATACCTTCTTGCACCCAACTTCCAGGCACCACCTGCACCAGAATGGAGGCTTTCCCTTTCACATTCCGCGAATTGGATCAAAACACTGCCGATAAAGTTAGTGGCAGGAAAACTTATTGTTTTACACCTTTCGCCCAGGCAGTTTGAATACCATGCAAAACAGCTCGACATGTGCCTAGAGCTGACGACAATACATACACAAAATATACATGCATTAATACACACTTACTTTCGCCACGTTTGTTTACAGATGATCTGGTATGCCACACAACCGCCAAATGTGAGGACCGTGATCGACCTAAAGAAATGTACAACAGACTGCTTCCGAACGGCGATTACGGTCTCGACATAGCTCTGATACAAGAAGGCACCAAATGCAAGTGCATTGCTTGCAGCCTGCACGAGACAATCACAGGTGCATACAATACATCTGGCATTTCTTCCAGATTTTCCATATGTGGCCCAGATGTGGCGCACCAGGAAAGTACAATCAGTCGGCGTTGAGATGCTCAGATGACAGCTAGAGTAGTTGCTAACAGTGCGAACGATCTACATGTGTATTAGGGAGTGTCGCCTGCTAGTTTTGGGTTACGTTAAAGTGGCAGAACGTGGCTCCTCCGATCAGAGGTGGAGATACAATCAGTAAACATAAGAGTGACCAGAAGAGCTAGCCTAGTTAGAATAGCTCATATTTGTGAAAAAGATGTGGAGCAAACTTTCTATGCTATTTACTTTAGCGAAGCCACAAATAGATATAGTTTCCACGGAAGGCATGAGTGGAGCGAATGTTTGGCTTTAGTTGACATTCTGCGGAAAAACTGGATCATAAGAAAAATAAAGATGAACCAGGGAGAACCCATTGCAGATGAAGAGGATCATGTGTATGGTTATCTTTTTCAGAAGGACTTAGGCAGAATATATGAACTTCCTCTCAGCAATTGTGTTAACTTGAGGGTGTCCTCATAAGAGGAAGAAATAGTTAGCATTATTGGATGCGACTACGGCGTGAAAAAAGCAAATAGCTGATCAGTGATGCTCATACCTTTAGCATAGCCGGTGCCTTGGGATTTGAATATGAGGAAGTAAACAAACACATTTATTTGTGGTCTATCTGCCCCTTCCCCGAGTGGACGTTTTCTCTAAATTATTATTAAAAGTGTCCTCATCAATGTCAAACTGAACTTTATTAATTTTATTTAATTCGTAAAGGTGTTACCGCCATGAGCAGATCTGTACCTAGTAATCGCAGTTCCGATATGATATTATCACCTACTATTGCGCATCAAGGAACCCAGATACTATGAGCACAAAGTCACGCGTACTTGTTACTGCCAATCATTGCTTTGCAAATACTAGCATCATTGGATATAAAGGGATTTTTCAGCGTTCAGTGTCTGGTAGTGGATGCAAGTAAACCTCTTGCATTTAATGAAGGGTCGCCTCGATGCAAGTTATGGGCCAAAACATTTATGTTTAGTACCTTCCCGGTTATCTTTGGCGAAAACCCACATAGTTAAATAGCGGTGTTTGTTAATTTCTAGCTTTATTTCGGATTTATTAACATAGCAAAATAATCCTTTTATATAGCTGCCTAGCCCTTTTGTTCCGTTGTTGGAGGCAGTCCTACGTAATCATTTTAATCTAATAATGGGTGCTTATTTGTTCGAAAAATTCCACAATAATTGCGATGTAGACTTTAATTACTTGATAGTATTGTGATATTATTTTATTTAATTTACGATTTAATTAATTTTGTTTTCAACACATTTTGTATTAGATTACAGTCTCCAATTGTTGTTACGATTAAAGATAAAATTTTCGTATTTAAACTACTTACAATAACAAGACGAGAGAAATGGGCTACAAACAAATTAAGCATAACTCGTTGAGCAGTCTTGTATTAACAGCAGAAGAAAGCCACACGGTAAGGGCATTAAAGATACACTGATGCTTAAACAGGCAGTAGAACAGAAGTGGAGTGAAGATTAAATATGCAATAAAACTATGTCAATAATTCGGTGAAAGACAAAATTCTCGGAGTTGGGCGAGGTTGTTATCAGAAAAAGATTGATGAAAACCAGTTGTTTTACACTTAGCAACAATGGAAATCAAAAGAGGCACAAGCCAAGGTTCCTGTAATGTGTCTGATTTTTAAAAGGTACTGACTCCTAAAGTTTACCAAATTATGCATTAGAATTATCATAGTCAAGACAAAAAGACCTTGAGGATGTTCACTCTGATATTTTTCTTATTTCATATCTGAAACATAAAATGACCTACGTTTAAGCTTCAGTGAAATTGACCCAGTCATCGTAACGGTATAGTGGAATTAGAATTACCAACCGTATAGGTTGAAGCAGACCTTATGTCAAATAATTGATCTTCAAAGTAAAGTTAATGGCATCGTATTCTAGGCTGTCAAACACTGATGAAAGACATGATTATTTGGGGAAAATTTAGAAAGAGTTGCTTTTTATTGCACAGTTGAATTTAAGGAGTACAGTTGTTGTTGTGTTTTTTTTTACGTAGCTTTAACAATTGTTCAGTCATATGGCTACGATGTCTGCAGTGTGGCAGTTTTATAGTCATGTCTAGCACTGGGCCATCATGCCGCAGACATGTAGCATGATGTCCCACCCAGTCACATTATCCTGACACCATGCCGACCAGTTCTAACACTATCCTATTAATGCTGTTAATACCATGTTTGTAAGTCTTTGATATGACTCGGCCGGGGATCGAACCCACGACCTTCCGCATCCTAGGCGGACGTTCAAATCACTAGGCGCACACTTTAGAAATAAAGAGGAGATTTAAGGTAGCCGCTTAACTCAGAATTCTTTAGTCCGATTTTTCTTGTAAATAGACAAGGTTTGTTACGTTAGAAACCTAAAAGAATAGAGTTTTCCATAGCTAATAAAGTAGAGAGGTCAGATAGCTGTCTTGAAAGGAAATACAGGCAATTGTGCTAGGATGCATGATTGTGTTGAAAAGAAAAAAGCATTAATGTACGCACTATTAATTTCCATATAATATTCTATTTTGTTTGTTTGGTTTTATGAAAATGGGTTTGATATGCTTGTGATTCATGCATGTGTCGTGTTTTCATTTCATTGGACTCTGTTGATATGTTAGAGTGTTATGCGATTTAATTATTTTATTCAACAGTTTTTAGTTCATTGATATAATTGACGGATTTGTGATGCAATCATAATTCCAAATATGTAGTATTTCGTATGGTTATATAAATTAATTTCCTTTGTAGGATCATACCGTTTACCGTGATTTAATGATAAATGCATCTTTATGACTCTGCAATGCCTAAATGATCTTGCTAGTTTTTGGTTACTGTAAAATAGGATTTAATGAATCTTATACAATAGTAATTGAACATTTATCATACTGAGTGGAATTGGCTTGCCAACTATAATGAGACATATAGTAATGTATGCTGATATATTCGGCAGTTGTGTTTATATTACTGCTGTGAAGCGAGGTCTAATTAGGAAAGACTTGGATGTATTTATGGATGTATATGACAGGGGTCATTTGTAAGGACCGTTAATCGTAAGGTCACATTAGGTCACAGTTTATGCAGTCTGAATAGTTATTTACGTTTGTGATTAACAAGGTTAGATATTTTATATATAATCGGATATGTGGTAAAAACATATACCGCTGTAGCCGTAATCATGTCATTTAAAGGAACAACTTTCTATATCCATTCCCAACAACCCGATGAAGACAGTCCAAGAGTGAAGTCCGCAAATAGAGAGTTTAGAGTAGGAAGCGTCGAAGGAAGAACCAAGCATAATACGATACGCGCAATATACAAAGCCTGAAGAAGAACGAAGCCAAGTGATGCAAGACGGCGTGGACATTGTACTATTTTCCCTACTCGTTACTATGATGAACGAATCCGTAAATTGAACACTGCTATTAAATTCCATTTATGTAAATATGTTGGATTGAATTTACATTTTTAGTTCATCTATTAATTAAATAGAAATTTGTTTCATTTTATTGTTTACGGGGGCTCGTATTTGTTAATCTCTTTTCAATAGTCTCGTTTAGTTCTCTGTCAATATTCTATATTTATGCTCACACTGGGCAATAACATCGAGGGAGGTCATTCCCTAGATAACGATTGCCCAATCAATTAACAAGACACAACACTCCAACTCCGTTTTAATTCCCTTCATCAAACAAGCCTAGCACTTAACACGATAAAGTCGCTCTAGTCGATCGTAGTCATAAGGTCGTCTTTACTGTAATGTATATAATTAATTCTTACGCTTCTTTCAACGTGGCAAACTTTCTTTAAATCTGATTAAAATCATGCTATATGTAGAATGATTAGAGCAAATTGACATTAATTTGCCTTTGTGTTTGACGAACTAGATAAGCCTCGTACACTTTAAACTATAAGATCAAGCATGCATTTCGTGTTATATCTGGTTCTCTTTAGAAGCAGTATGTTCCGCATGCTTCCTTTTATTGGTGAATCGAAATGTCAACATAACGCGACACCTTATTTATATTCGTACAAGTCTCCTTCGTGTCGGATATCTCTATTTTAATCAGATGGACCTTCTCTAACACCCATATTCCCGAATCCTCCCCACCCCACGCGGTTTGGCTCTGCTCGAGGCCACTTGCAAATATATTTCCGTTCCTGAACAGAAAACAGAGATAACAAGTCGAAAGGTCTTCACTCGGTCAATAACAATATGTTACCTTTTCTTCCTTGGTTACAATACATATTTTGATTCCTGAAAAAGGAGATACCACAGTGTCAAATATAGGATTAATTAATTATCTTCTTATTTATTTATTTATTAAAATGTAGATAATTAAATGCCAGCCTCTCAGTTTAACTTTTTGCCAGTTAAATGTGCCAGTTAATTATTCTGTACAGTGGCAATGAATCCAATAGTGTGAAGTCGGTCCTGTTTGTACAAAAATAATCAAATTACACCCAGCTGTTTCGGTAAAACAAAAGGGAACATAAGGTGGACAGGTTGACTTGAGAAAATAAAAGAGCACAGCTTAAAGGTAGCAGCTGTGTAACAGGTTTAACAAGAATGAAATTCCGTACTTAGTCGCTGCTCTTGATGCTTCGTTATCATTTCGGAATCTACACATTGCACTACAAACATACCGATGACTTGTTTCACGAAAGAAGCCAAAAGGAAATATCAGTTTTTACCAGTAAGTATTCATTCAGAATTTGCTTTCAAATTGGCCTTCATTTGTAAAGCTGACATTCCACGTTCATAATATGAGCGACCGCTCTGGTTTGAATGCACAACCACTATGTGACGATATTTGTGTATGTATTCTTTTGTACGTTTATGTACATTTGTTACATGTTTTATTGCTTGTATTTTTTTTTTCTTTTATTTCCTATTTATTTTAAAGAAAACGCTTCCATACGTTTTGGGGTATAAATTATATTAAAGGATAGTTTAGAAAATATCCCCTTCCCCAAAAATGATTTTTATAGTAACAATGAATTTAATATTTCTACCTCATGGCAATTACCTGGATGTCATCTGGATATTACCACCAATTATAATTAATATCAGTCTACGGTCTGTGGTTCATTTATCTGAATACATACTCATTAAAATAGGGAGGTAAGCTTTAAGAATGCAACAACAAAGTTCAAGTCGCTAAGCAAATACCACAGACTGTTGCTATGGTTTTGAAGTTAAAAGCTACGATATTAGCACATCGTCCAGTATTATATAGGACGGTGGTATAATGGTTAGGTTAAGACATTGGTCAATAGTATCAGTGGTCCTTGGTTATTATCCCTGTAGTGGTAAGAAACTGTGTGTCCATACTCAACCGTAAATATCATTTATTGATGTAATGATGAGCATACTGTATTGTCCGTCTAATAATAGCGTTATATGGCGGTTCCCTGCGCATGGAAAGTCACGCCCTGTGTAGGTACAAGATTCATCTCGTGTATCTGAAAAAGAGTAGGTGTTTGTCACCGCAGACTGGGTTCTCCTTGATCCAGCGAACAAGCACACCTGTCCGTAATATTCAACATACCTGAAGGTAGCAGTGGACATATTATGTAACCTAACCGGTATGACAAGGCCGATCATTTATGAAAAATAACAGGTGGTGGTGGTGTTTGTAATTTTTAACGTAGCTTTAACAATTTTTCAGTCATATCGCTACGATGTCTGCAGTGTGGCAGTTTATAGTGATGTCTAGCACTGGGGTATCATGTCTCAGACATTTAGCATGATTTCCCACCCAGTCACATTATCCTGACACTAGGCCGACCAGTCCTAACACTAACCTCTTAATGCTGAGCGTCAAGCGAGGCAGCTGTTCATACCATTTTTGTAAGTCTTTGGTATGACTCGACCTGGGATCGAACCCACGACCTCCCGCATCCGAGGCGGACCCTCTAACCACTAGGCGACCGGAGCGGTTAAAAATAACAGGTGTTCAGTTTCTTCTGGACTATAATGATTACGTCATTTATTGACTAAGATTTGTTCTGTGCCAAAATAACTCTTTCATATTGGTCTCTCAGAGTCTGGGTAATTTACAGTTTTCATGTTAATCTTACAATCACAAAACCATTTCTGTTTTTGCATAAGTATTTCAAACATTTCATCGAATTTAAAACAGATGATTTATTCATCCAGAGCTTGTAAGAGGTACTCATTTAAGTCTATATCTCATGTTAAAGTTGTTAATGTACAATTCTTTTGATACATTCGTATATTATTTGATACATAATTCATATTATATTTTATACATTCGTTTCCTATTTGGTACATATTTCATATTTAATTTTATACATTCGTTTCTTATTTGGTACAAAACTCACATTTCATTTTATTCATTCGTTTCTTATTTGATACATAAGTGACATTTCATTTTATACATTCGTTTATAATTTAGTACATAACTCACATTTCATTTTGTTCATTCGTTTCCTATTTGGTACATAACTCACATTTCATTTTATACATTCGTTTCCTATTTGGTACATAACTCAACTTTCATTTTATACATTCGTTTCCTATTTAGTACATAACTCTCCTACCCCATAATTGAATGCATGACGGGTTTCAGTGTTTCATTCTATCATTTTACTTTTTTGTTTTATGTGCACCAATTAACGATCTACTTTTCGCTATCATATCGAACGTTCTAATGACCATATCGGGATAATATTGTAAGAAGTATTTAGAAAGAATAGTGTCTAGCACCGAGGCATCATATTGTAGACATTTATCATGATATCCCATCCAGTCCCATTATCCTGACACCAGGCCGACCAGTCCTAGCACTATATTCTCAATTCTGAGCACGAAACGAGGCAGCTGCTTGTGCCATTTATACAAGTCTTTGGTTTGACTCAGCCGGGGTTCAAACCCGCGACCTCTGGATCCAAAATTGTAGATTCACAAAAACTGCTTTCACTTGAAGGTTTGAAATATGATTACCTATATTAACACAAATCAAAGACCTCACGAGTTCAATACACCTTGTTTTCATACAGAAGAATAACATTAATGGAAGCCGACACATCAAACAATGCTTAAGCAATACTTAAGCACAAATAAAACACATGTCAAGATCATTCACATGGGCACTAAAATCGAACTCGGTCAAAATTCAACTCCAGAGTCGAGAAGCAAATCAACCCTCGAGAAAAGAGACAAGCCAAAAAAATTACCGTCAGAAACACAAGCAACCTGCAAAAGCTCCACCACAAACACCAAAACCTCCATTAAGCAGGCAGTCCCACAACC